TCATTTTTACAGTATGTATCTCAAGTTCTGTTTTTAAAAAGGAGACAAGACTGTTCCCATGGCTTAATTGCAAACCAATTTCCTAGAACTGGCTTTTGTTTTTAATGATGTTTTTTATGTTTCTTTATTTTTTGTGTTGAGACATTTAGTTGTTTTTCAAAAAAGAGAAAGAACAAAATGTCAATGTTTTCTTTGTTTTATAAAGGTAACTGGTCTCCAAGAGGGTGTTTCCTACAGGCTGCGCATCCATGCTAAGAATCTGGCAGGTGTTGGTGGACCCTCAAAGGCAACTGATGCAATTTTGGCTGAGACTCGCCTTGGTGAGATTTTATTCTAGGACATGGATAGAGCTGTGTGGTAGAGGAAAACATCTGTCACTCACCGCCTGCACTTCTAATTTTGTTTCACATGTTGGGTTCTCCTCAGGAACCAATGAGATTGTGGTGGATGTGGACGACAATGGTGTGATCTCTCTGATCTTTGAGTGCTCCGATCTTAAAGAGAACTCTCAGTTTGTGTGGTCTAAAAACTACGAGGCCTTCACTGACACTTCTCGTCTCACCATTCAGACTGCGGGGGGCAGGTAAGTTGGCTTCTGAAATAATACAGTCATGCAGAGTTTCATTAACTTTCATATTTTGTTGAGATTGACTGTTTTTATGTTTGGATACCCAATAACCTATATGTAAAGAAATACCTAGATTTGCAAGTGATTTGTTTGTATTACTGTTGACAGAACCATTCATTTACCTTTATTTAGGTCCAGAACCATCTTTAATGACCCATCGTTGGAAGACTTGGGCACTTACTCCTGTTTTGTGACCAACACTGATGGTGTCTCTGCCAGCTACACGCTCACTGAGGAAGGTGAGTCACTTTCCTTTGGTCTGTGGTGATATTCAATCCCATTACATTTCTTTGAGTGACGTTCATGCTTAAGAAGGGAAAACATGAAGATCACTACTTCTTAATGTCAACTGAGAGTACAGCAGCTGCCGATTCCTTTTCCATAAACAACAAACAAATGATTCCACACAACAAATAATTCACGTCAATAATCTGTTTTCTCATAGAAAGCTTACATCGCGTAAGTTTAGTTGATTACATGCAATGTTGTTTACATTTTGTAGGACTTAAGCGCTTGTTGGACATCAGCCATGACCATCAGTTCCCCAGTAAGTGGTTTATCTAGACTTTTATATAGTATAGTCAATATGCATACTTAATATGCATTTACCAGTCAGTAAGTTGTTATATGTTAATTGTGAGCAATTTTCTGCAGTAATTCCCTTCAAAAGTGAAATGGCCATTGAGCTACAGGAGAAGGGCCGTGTTCGTTTCTGGGCCGAAGTTGCAAAGTTCACTTCTAACTGCCAAGTGGAGTATGTGTTCAATGACAATATCATCCATGAAGGAAAGGTAAGACATATAAGAACATTTTAGCTTCAGTGGACTTCACAAACTAACATTAATTATCATGTAAACTTGGACAGCATACATGATGATGATGTTGTTTTTTTTTGGTCTAACTCAGAAGTACACAATGAACTTTAACAAAACCACTGGCATTATTGAGATGTTCATGGACTTACTGGAGGTTACTGATGAAGGAACCTTCACATTCAACCTCATTGATGGCAAAGCAACTGGTCGCACCAGCTTAGTGCTTATCGGAGAAGGTGAGGTCATATTTTAATTTGTTTATTTTTTAGTCACTTTAATATTCCTACAGCTTAATGGTGCACACTAATATATATAAATTAAAATGTTTATATTTTTAAATTCAGAGGTGTTCAGAAGTCTGAAACCATTAGTTAAAATGCTTCTATTTCATAAATCATAATTTTTTTTTAAATAAATAAAATCATAATTTTTCTGTCACTTTCGGTCACTCTGTAATTTTTCACTCGTAACATTTTGAGTAAATAATAATAATAATAATTATTATCATTAAAAGCATAACAATTTGAGTGAATAATTAGTGACATAGAAACTTAACGTCTTAACGTATTTCTCATTTCTTTTACATCATAACTTTGTTTGTTATTAAATAATTTTAAATTGGATTTTGAATCCCAGATTTGAAGCCCACCATATATTTGTGTTCAACCCATTATTCAAACCAGTGAACCATTAGTAAGTACATCTCACTAGTACAGCAGCCTAACAGAGTTTTATATCAGTATGTCCTTTAGAGGGCAGAAGAGTACCGTTTATAACTCCAAATCCAAATGAACTAGACAGGTGGGGTGACAAGAAATGTGTTTTGTGATCTAGCTCTGGGGAATGCTTATGAATGGACTCTAAACAGAATTCAAAACTCAAAATAAGCTGTATTCTGCACGCTTTGATCATTTCCTTCTATTTTTAATAATGTTGTTTTACAGAGTTTGCTGAGCTTCAGAAGAAATCTGAGTTTGAGAGAGCAGAGTGGGTCAGAAGGCAAGGTACTCTGTCTTTACACTGTATTTGTTTGTGTTAAATCATATTTTAGTTGTTGAATGTCTAAAAATATTCTCCCACACACAGGTCCTCACTTTGTGGAGTATCTCAGTTTCGAGGTCACTCCAGAATGTGATGTGCATCTGAAATGCAAGGTAAGGCTCTAGGAATCAAAGATGGGAACATGAAACCATCTGTCAATGCCTCAGGTTGAAAAGATACTTGTTAAAATCCCTTTTTCCATCTTTCTTCTGCT